GTTCAATGGGGTCTGCATGGACGTGGGTCCATGGGTCTCCAGATGCTCAAGCACGGTTCAATGGGGTCTGCATGGACGTGGGTCCATGGGTCTCCAGATGCTCAAGTACGGTTCAATGGGGTCTGCAAAGACATGGGTCCATGGGTCTCCAGATGCCCAAGCACGGTTCAGTGGGGTCTGCATGGACATGGGTCCATGGGTCTCCAGTTGCTCAAGCACAGTTCAATGGGGTCTGCATGGATGTGGGTCCATGGGTTTCCAGTTGCTCAAGCACGGTTCAGTGGGGTCTGCATGGACCAGTTGAGTCTGTTCCATCTACTAGACATGTCAGTGGATGTAGGCACCTGAGTGTGATCCTAATTTCACCCTGCTTGGGTCCCAGAAAAGACAGGTGGGCCTCTTCCTCACTGCTTTGTTGTGCGCCCACCTTAAGGGTCAGATGACGGCGTGGTATGACAGTAGATGCCTCTGCAGATTTAGAGATGAGCACATGGGAACAGAATTGCACTTAGGCACCTGAGTCCAGTTAGACGCCCAAGAGAATTTCACCCCATATATGCACTAAGCCAGGACAGAGCAAGGAAGGGGACTGCCTGGGTTTCTTTTCTCTCTTGCCACTGACTGTTGTTCAATGGGCCATAGACAGATACTTTAAACTTTCACACCCATTTCCTAGGAGAACAGCACGTTATGCTGGCTGGGAGCATGGTATTCCTTGTTCCCCAGTCCTGAGCTATAGGAACTCACTGAGATTTGGAGGCCTGTATCCATCACAGCCGATCTTTGGTCTTTTCTGCCCATACAGAGCGCAGAACGGGGGGCTCCCCGTCTGGTTGCAGCACCAGTCCTGCAGCTTTAATTCTTGATCTAGGGAGGAAAGTGAGAGCATTAAAGAGGGAGCAGTGACCCCCAAATGATGGGGGCTGGGAGACCCAGTGCCCCTGGGACAAAATAGAAAGTCTCCCATGGGTGTCACCTGGGGTCCAACACAGGTCCCCTCTCTACGGAGACAAAAGGTGGACAGAAACCAAAAGGGGTGCCAAGCCTTGCTCAGCCATACGGTCTACCCTGCCATCAAGGTCCACCAGATTTCAGCTACATCTGCCCATGCCTTCAACGGATCCCGAGTCCTGGTAAATCCAAGCCCCACTTACAAACATTTAATATCCCAGGAGTACACTCTATGCTTCAGAGCAATTTCCTTGCTCACATCAAACCCCTTGAATATACAAATAAGGTCAGCTCCAGCCCCTGGAAACACCGCTGGGCCCTGTCCCGTGTCACGCACTGTCCACGTCTGCAATTGCTAACACGAGGCACCAAACTGAGATGGACCCTCGAAGTCACCACGGCTGGAGAGAGTCAGATCCCCTCATCTCCCCTGAAAAGCACAGAGGACCTGCGTAAGGGCCAGCCACGTGGCGCCAAGGGCATGCGGGCAGAGCGCTGGAGTCGGGGCCTGTCTACAGCAGCACTTGCAATGCAGTATAGGGATGCCTGAGCTAGCAGCCGCGCTGATATGGTTCGTTTGCCTTGCCAAGAAGTCCGTTCAGAGCATCGTACTGCTGCTAGCCTATGCAGAAATGCCCATGTCTCAGAGGTTATGGGCTCTACTCCTGTCTCTGTCACTCGCCTAATTCTGCACTCTGTGCCTCAGTTCCTCACCCTGTAAAATGGGAGCAATGAGCCAGACTTGCTTTGCAGAACATTGAGAGCAGCTGATGGAAAGCAATAGGATGAACCACACGAGAGAAGCCTGTGCCTACCACGAAACGGTGACGCTTGTCTTGAATACTTCCAGTATTTCTCCTGCCGGCCGTCGAGGAGCTTGTTCTGCTTACTGTACAGGCATCGCACCCCAGCGCCGTACTGGTTGGGAGAGGCTGCATACAGCATGGTCACCTGGGCATCCGGCCAACCTGCAGCAACACGCTGGTTAGACGACAGCTTTCCTACTCCTCTGGTGTGGGGCGGGTGGGGGTTACCCCAGAGCCAGGCAGCGCCGGGGATGGCCTGAATCACGGCGCTTTAAGGCATAAACTAGGCTTGTTGTAAAAGCCCTGATAGCATCTTGCCGCGAAGGTGCCACAAACCCCAGCTTGGGCAGCGTTCGGGGCCTAAGCAGGTAATGGGCTTAGCACTGTCCTGTCGGGGCCATCTCCCATGCCGCAGAGCAGACTCCCCAGCACATCCAGCCCCCTCTGCACACAGTGTTTCCCTTGATGCCCTCCTATGCATTTGCCTGTAGATAGATCTCAGCCGAAGCAAAGGGATGTACACCGGAAGCCTCACCCCGTGGCAAGGGAGAGAAAACCCCGGGGAAAATGGCTCGGTCAAATACGCTCTCGGCATCCCACACCTCCTTTGCTGCGTCTGAAGCGGCCGTCCAACTCTCCCTGCTGCAGAGAGCAGGGGCATGGCGGCAGGTCCCTGTTCCACGTGCCCGGCTCCTGCTGCTTGCTGGCCCAGCTGAGGCACCGCACCCGGTAGTTGGCACGCACGCGGCTCTCCAGTCTGTAGATCCGCAGCCCTCGCAGGTCTGGGAGGGCAGGAAAGCAGTCATAAGACAGTGGCCTCCAGTGAACCGAACGCGGACATTTTAATGGACTAAGTTGTGGGCGGAGTGGTACAATTTTGGGCAAGATTTACCAGCAGGAAGAATAAATATGGGGTGAGATTTTTCCAAAATCAAATGGTACCGTGTGCCTTTGTGCCTTTCACAGTCTCCTCTGGATGTCTGTAGGTTAATGGATTATGGAAGCCAAAAGGGGACCACTGGGATCGTCTCATCCCATCTCCTGGATAACACAGGCCATAAGACCGAACTAGAGCATCTAATGTCAATTTAGAAACCACCAGTTATGGAGAATCCACCAGAGCCCTTGCAAGGCGGCTCCTACGGTTAACTACCCTCCCTGTTACAAGTCTGCACCTTTTGCCCCACTCTGAATTCATCCAGCTCTGACTTCCAGCCTCTGGGCTGGAGAGGCCGGCGTGGTCAAAATTCACATTTCCTCTGTAGGGTTCACGTTGTCCTTCCCCTCCTCTTGGATTAGCTAAAAAGACCGAGCTGGAACTGGCTGCAAGGCTCCTACCTGTGCTGTAGTCGCTGAACTGGTCGGGGCGATATTTAGCAGCCGGGGGTCTCTGAGTCAGGTTGTCATTTTGGTAAAATCCATCCCCGCTGCGTGAGAGAGAGGAAGACCTTCAATTTAGGGCCCCGGCAAGACCAGGCTCCTCTATACCAACACCATGTGTTTCTCTAACCTCCCTCAAACAATCCAGCTGGTGCTAATAAAGTCTGGCCACCCCCTGGGACACCCTCCGTGGCAATAAAGGATTCAAGCCAACAGGAACAGTGCGGGTAAATACAATGCAACACTCAGACAACTCGAGGCTTGTAAACGCTCATGTTCAGGTCATTATATCCAGCTCCTCCTCCGTGTCCAGCAGAAGTGGTAAAAACACAGCACCTGGAGTAGCCGATCAGGACATTCGTGGCTGGACGTCTGGTGTAATCCCACTGCATGCTGCCATCTTGGTAGAGGATCAGGACGTAAGACTTGACCCCGTCGGTGGTGAGGACAGCCTGGTACGTGTTCGTCTAGAAGAACACGCAGCGGTCAGGGAGGCAGGCACCAAGACGGTGTCGCCTCTGGGAAGGGCGCAGCGATGGCACCGATTGCTATTCAATGAGAGGCGATGAACAGAGACCAACCGTGGTGCTAACGAGGCCCTCTGGTCTCTATTGTGAAATCATGTAGGGGAATCCATGCATTTTGGGAGGGATTGCAACAGAGATGGGTCATCAAGGAGACAAGTGTAATCCTCCACAAAGCAAACTTAAGCACATGCATGGAAAGCTAAGGATTGTTTTAGAAAAAACACAATGACATTTTTTCACTTTTGGCACAGAAAAAAAGTGACATTTTATACCAAAAAAATGGACTCCGGGGGTTTTTTTTTTTTTAGTAAAAACATAAGAACACAAGCAATGTCATACTGGGTCACACCAATGGTCGATCTAGCCCAATATCTTGTCTCCATCAGTTGCAGAAGTGGATGCTATACATGGAGAGCATCAAACTGGATACCTCTAAAGTGATCTATCCCCTATTGAGTACCGTCCCTGGCCTTGACCATTTATTGATGGTCCATTTTCATTAGTGAAAGCTGTGTTTCTGCTAGCATCCGATGAATGAGCTTGTGGGAGCTTATGCATCTCTGCTTCGGTTTGTCCACAAGGTGCCTCTCCACCCTGCCTTCCAGCAAACAGAAAGTTTCTGTAACACGTCCAAAAAACCCCCCAATTTTGAAAAGAAAAAATTCCAGGGAGAAATCTCCAAAGAATTTAAAACACACCTGAAAAGAGCTCTACTCCAAATCCCTGGACATGAACTTAGACTTTGGGCTTTTTTTTCATAAAAGCATTGGAGATGGGGGTCAGTCCCCTCTCTGCACAGACAGATTTCACTGCGTAGGGAGCGACAGTCATCTCAATGCCAAGGGGCTGTGTGCGCTACCCACAGCCCCCCTGAAGCCCCCTTTCACCAAGTTTTTATCCCAGTTTTCAGCAGAAGGGTGAACATCACTTGAACTCAATGGATCCAAAATGAATATGGGGACCCACGTGACCATTGCTGCAGGGCACTTGCAGCCACGTCTGTCCTTGAATACCCATCGAAAGTGCTTCCCTCACTTCCTAGGCTCTGCCCAGCTGGCAATTCAAAGCTCGGGAACTGAGGTGCAGAGAGCCAACAACTTGCTGGAAGTCACAGAGCCGGGAATGGGCCCCTAGACCCCCCAGGACCAGCGAGCGCCCTCCCCACAGGACCCTGTGTCCACTCTCAAAGTCCCCAAAATGTGGGCTGAAGCCGATGCAAAAGCCCCGGCACCCACGTTTCCTACAACGCAGACACAGTGCAACAGGAGAGGCATGAGGACGGTGGTGAAGAGGGGCGACAGCTTCCTGCCACTTCAGGTGCCACATACCTTGGTGACATCCCTCCATGCAGGGTAGGCAGGAGCCTTCACCCAGGTGATCTTCAGAGTCCACACGGCCGAGTACAACGTCTCCACGTATCGCCGAATCTTCGCTTCCACATCTTGAATGAACGGAGGCTTGGCAGAGTTCAGGGTCATGAATTCCTGGGGGTTGCATATGTGCACGTGGTTATACCCCCCTGTGGGAGCACAGGAGAGAGGCGGCGCTGGGGCGCATGAGACTGGGAGCTCCTGTCCTGTGCCAAAGCCTCTGTTCTAGGGATCCCTAAGAGCATAAATGAGACTTTCTGCACCGCAGTGACCGTCCCCCTAAGTTAGGGCATACTCACGTGTATGGGGCCATCGGGAACACCTAAAAAGCCCAGCGGGTCTAAAAAGCCCGGCTTCCCAGTTACACCCACTGCAGCGGGGATGGAGAAGGGACCAACAGAACAAAGCTGTCACGAGTTCAACTTTGCCAGCTTCATGGGAAAGAGTGCCAGACCCGTGCAGGGGGTTGGCCGGACTGGCTATAAGGTCAGCGTTAGTGTTACCATCCATAAAACGAACCTGGTAAAAGGTAGTGCCAACACCTCTGGAGAAATCAGCATTATCCCAAAACACAGCTACCATCGGGACTGTTTCATGGCCATTAAACCCTTCAGGCGGTGGGTTGGGATATGGGAAAACATCGTTGTCTGCGGCTGGGAAAATTATTTGCCCGTTATCTGTAAACTAAAAGTTAATTCCTTGGGTTAAAATCTTCATACACAAGCAACAGAGTCTCTGCTGCCAACGGAGGCTTAAGTCATGGCCCCGACCCCTCAAATGCAATGCACTTTGGAGTCAAGTCTGTACGTGCCCTTGAGCATCGTGGGGTCGCGCTGAGAAGCCCAACCATGGACTTCACACAGAGCCAACGGCGGCCCCTGCTACGTCTTAAGAAAAGAAAACCGTTCTGAAGGAAGCCTTAAATCATAAAATGGTCGTAACTTTAACCAAAGCCCACTAAAACTCTTCCAAATCAGGCAGGAATGCCAGATCCTAGGAAATATGCACCAAAGCTGGGATGTCCCTTGTTCCTATGGACAGCCGTTGTGTCACGGGGGGACTGCAGACTTTTCTGATGCTTCACACCCACGAGCCAGCCTTAGAGAAACTCTAAGGAAGAGCTCATTAAATCCTCCAAATGAATCCGTTGTCAAAAATAAAGCAAACAAATCAAAAGCATGCAAACTCTGAAAACTCCAGTCTTTCTACACCGAGGTACTTTCCAAGAGAGAAGGCAATGCGGCCAACGAAACGAGACTCACATAGAGAGCGTTGCGGAGCGTTTTCCCAAACGGAAATCCGATCGCGGGTTTGAAGAGGCGGGAGTTAAAATCCACTCTCTTTTCCACGTACTCTTTATCCTTTGCCTTTGCTCCGTACGGATACAGGGTCACTGCTGCTGCAGAAACACAATGGTGAGAGCGACTGAGCGTTAGTCAGAAGAGTTTCAGGCTGATTCTTAAAACATCAAGGTCGGCTACATTTAGGGCAGTGACAAGAGAAGTGAATGAAGCATCCGAGGAGGGGGACCGCAGCAGAGCGGAGCGCGGCAGGGGTCCCGTTGTGTTGCTCCCAATGGCCCCCCTCTCGATGACTTACGTGTGGTCGGCTGGCCTGTAGCACCTGCAACCGACCCTGTAGCCCCAGCCGAGGCCAGCGCTGTCCCTCCCCGGGCAAATCCTGCACCGGTATCATCCTCACGCGCTGCCCATAAAAGCAAAGAACAATTCATGCCATTGCAGTGATGGGAGTTGTAGGGCAGGGGGTGGATGACCCCAAACCCTCGTCATTTCTCTAAAAAGCCCAATTGGTCTCGCCAAGCCTCCAGGTCTCTCTCTACGCCTGTACAAATCAGGTCCAGGCACAAGTGCTGTCATCTGGATGGTCAACTACCTGATGCACGGCCAGGCAACGAGCAGCCTCAGTTATACGCTCGATTCATTTGTGCAGGCAACACAAAGCAAGGCTAGGTTGAGAATCAGGCCCTGGATGTACGCAGTGATAACTAATTATCTCCTGATCCCTGCTCGCGTTGACAAGGAACCGCTTGGTTTGGGCATCTCAGACTCATAGAAAATGAGGGTCTGAAGGGACATCGGGAGGCCACATCTAGTCCAACCACCTGCTCCAAGCAGGACCAGCCCCAACTGCATCATCCCAGCCATGGATTTGTCTAGCCACATCTTCAACACCTCCGAGGATGGAGACTGCACCACCTCTCTGGGTAACCAGTGCTTCACCACCCTCCTCGGGAGGAAGTTTCTCCTAGTATCCAACTTAAACCTCCCTTGCTGCAACTTGAGCCCATTGCTCCTTGTCCTGTCATCTGCCCCCACTGAGACCAGCCCAGCTCCATCCTCTTTGCAGCCGCCCTGCAGGGAGGTGAAGGCTGCTACTAATTAGCAGTCGAAGGCTGCTCTCTCCCTTAGTGGAGTAGGTGTCAAACACCATAAAAATACAGAGAAGAGTGGATAGCCCAAAAGACCTTCCTTAAGTGCATATGCAGTTAAAAGTCCAGGCTTTCATGCGTGAAGTAACCCTTCATTACAGGTCTCCAGGACAAAGGAAGGACCCCCAGCGTTGCTTACAATGCAGCCACCACCACACCCCCCACCTTTCCTCCAGACCTCACGCAGTCCCCATCACCCCTGCCAGGGAGAACCAAGGAGAACGCAGATGTCTTCCCGCCAGCCCTAAAAATAAGCAAAACCTGAGGCCAGGCAACCAAGACATGCTGTCGTGCACATGTAGCCGGTGATGCCAGCAGCTGGGAGCACGCGGAGGAAGCGTTCCTAGGAAAAGCCCGTGTCTTCCTCTGCAGCGGACTGACAACCCACGTGGGACGTACCTTGTGTGACCGGGAGAGGGAACGGCGTCGTAGCCAGGCCTGCCCAAGCTGCCACCTCGGGAAGCTGCAGGGAGGACGGGGTGCTAGAAAGCAAACCGGTGGAGGAAGGTCCCGGCTCTGCAGCCTGTGGGGCCTTGGCAGGAGTTTTGCTGGCCAAGGCCGAGGCCGAGGAGGACACTTCTGATGATACATGGACTCCTGTCACTGACCCATCTCCAGACAATGGAGAGACCTCCCCAGCTGGGGACAAGACCCCCATTTCTTCTGCTGGAGCATTTGCTGGACCTGTTTCGCTCTGGGAGTCAGCAGTGGATCCCACGTTCCCCTTGTCTGCGGCCGACGCAGGCCCTGCGCTATCCCCTCTCCCTTCTGTAGCCGCAGGAGAGCGCGGTCCCTCGCCATCCGACAAGGGAGGAGCAGAATTGATGGAGCTGAAGCCTCCAAGAGAGGAGGACCCTTCCTTTTCGGCCTCCGAAGCAGGGGAGGCCGTGGCGGTTTCCCCAGGGATGTTGGCAGCAGACTCGAGCATTTCCTTTCTGGTTGGGACTGGAGCACCCGACCTGCCAGCCGCCACCGTGCCTGTATTTTGGGTCTCTGGCCCCGAGAGCTCGGTGGGTGTTTCGCTGGAAGAGACGAGAGTGGATGGGGACCCTGCTCCTGATGGCACGAGACCTCCTGCGGCCACCCCATCGTCCAGGGAGGATGGAGGGGAAGATCCAGCGTTAGCCAAGGTCCCCATGTGTCCCGTTTGCAGCTCTGCTGCGCTTGGCGGGTTCAGCTCTGCGTCCAAGGAGGAAGAAGGATTTGGGGCGTCGCGGCTCGTGGATGTCGCGGCTTCCTTGGTATCTGCGGAGGTCTCCCCTCCCATCTGGGACAGCGACGGCACTCCGCTGCCATGGGCTCCGGGCAGCTGTGCTCCCCGAGGTGCTTCTGCTGCTGCGCTGGGAGCCTGGGACTCCACAGCAGATGGAGAAAAGGGGGTTTCCTTAGCACTTGCACGGCCAGAGCTTGCTGCCTCCTCTATGCCTGCATCTGCCTGGGTGACTGTAGCCGGTTGGGAGGAGGTAGGAGCATTAGAGAACCCATTAGGGGCAGATGCTACGTTACTGGGCTCTGACCCGGAGGAGCCAGCCTTAGGCGAAGCCCCCGATTCTCCGGTGGACAGCTCTGCTGCATTGGCTGACCCCAGCTCTGGGATTGAGGGCAAGGGATAAGTTTCACCCAGGAGACTGCTGTCGGGAACAACCAGTTCTTCCCTTGCAGGGGACGCTGAGCCAGTCACGTCCCCAGTGTATCCAGCCCCAGCCGAAGCAGGAGTCTCGCTATCAGAGGACACCAGAGAAGAGCCTGAAGCGCCAGGAGCTCTGTTCACTGCACTGTCAGGCTCTGAAAGCAGCGGCTCGTTGCTGGCAGATGGAGATGCGTCTCCTGGTGCTGTGCGTGCTCCTGTCCCTGCTGCATCCCCTCCAGATGAAGCAGGGGACGTTTCAGAGGCAGCCGAGGCTCCTCCGACTGGCAGCTCCAATGCATCTCTTGCACCCATCTCTGGACTTGCAGAGGGTGAGAGACCAGCTTGATGCTGGGCGTCACTGACAGACGTGGCAGCTTCCTCGCTTTCCGCAGACGCCAAGCTGGAGGGCTTCACACCCGCATCAGACCGCAATGTCGCTCCACTGCTAAGGGCTCCAGAGAGCTGCGGTCCCCGAGAAGTTTCCCCACCTGCAAGGCCAGAGCTCTCCACCGCCCCTGTAGCCTCCTTAGTTATCAATGCTATGGCTGCCTCTGCAACCCCCGATGGCTGGGAAGAGCCAGGAGCACTGGAGAACCCAGTTAGGGGAACTCCTATGGTTTTAATCCCTGAAGCTGATGGCTCAGTGAGGACATCACTGGGAAAAGCCGGGGCAAAGGCTTCACCCCCCAGAGAGGACCCAAAGGGAGTTGTAGTGCCAGCTGAGGTGCCTGCTTCTCCCATGCTTGCTGGACCCAGCGCTGTGCCCAAGGGAGAGTCATTCGCTGCACTTGGAGTACCTGCGCTGGATATTCCTGCTCCCCTGTTGCTAGCTGTTGCTGCTGTGCTAGCAGAGCCCCCGGCCTCCTCCACAGCTGCAGGGCCCACAACGGTCTCGTGCTGGGAAAAATCGGCACCACTAGAAACTGCTCGAGGGGTGACTCCTGCCTCTGAAATGGAGGATGCAGCCAGGGCATCGCGAGGAGAAGCAGAGGCAGCTGGGGACGCGTCTCCGGAGTGGGGTTGTGTGGCCATCACTGCCCCATCGCCTAAGGATGATGGGAGAGAAGGGTCCAAGCCAGCCAAGGTTCCTGCTCCTGCCACCAGCAGCTTCGATGCATTTCCTGTGCTGGTCTCTGCTGGGCTTCGTGCTGCATTTGAGGGTGAGAGGCTGGTTGGACTCTGGGTGTCAGTGATGGAGGTGGTGGCTTCCTTGTTTCCAGAGGTTTCCACGCCAGCATCGGGCAGCAACGTCACTCCCCCAAGGGCTCCGGAGATCCGTCCTCCCTGGGGAGTTGCAGCTGCTGCAAGGCCAGAGTTTGCCACTGCCTCTGTGCCCTCTTTGATCGATGCTACATCGGCCTCAGTGACTGCAGATGGCTGCAAGGAGCCAGGAGCACTTGAAAACCCATTCCCTGAAGTTGACAGCTCAGCGAGGACATCGCTGGAAGATGCTGGGGACCCCTCCCCTGGCACTGCCCCATCCCCTGGAGATGAAGGGAGGGAAGTTTCAGAGGCAGCTGCGGCTCTTGTATCTCCTGAGCCTGTTTCTGCTGGACCCACCACTGTGTTCGAGAGCAAGGGATTGGTTTCCCATTGGGTCTCCACGCTGGGTGTGGTGGTTTCCTCGCTTCCTGCCAATGCTGGATGAGTGGATTCAGGGCCGGTGCTGGCCGGCGCGGCTTCTACTTTGTTCTCAGGTTCTCCAGAAGCATTTGTTGAAGCAGGTGGCTCTGCCTCCATGGCTGGGGAGGGAAGCGGGGTTTCCTCTCCATCGGCACGGCTGGCACTTGGGAAGTCCTCCTTCTGCCCTGCAGCAGCAGGTGCAATCACGGTGGGAGAGGGTTGGGAGGGACCAGGAGCATGGGAGGATCCGACTGGGGAAGCTCCTGTCCCTGCCGGCTCTGCAAGCGACGTCTCAGCGGGGGCATCGCTGGGAGACAGGGACACGTCTCCTGATGCCGTGGGTGCCCCTGTCTCTGCCCCAATCCCTCCGGATGCAGGGAGGGAAGTTTCAGAGGCCGCCATGGCTCCTGCTCCTCCAGCTGGCAGCTCCGACGCAGCCACCTCTGCTGGACCCACTGCTGGGCCTGAGGGCGAGGGTCTGGTTTGACCCTGGGTGTCCGTGATGGATGCGGTGGCCTCCTCGTTCCCTGCAAAGGCTGAGCTGGAGGTCTCCACGCTGGTATGGGGCAGCAATGCTGCTCCACTGCCACGGGCTCCGGAGAGCCATGCTTCCTGAGTTTCAGTAGCTGCAAGGCCAGAGCTCACGGCCACCTCCGTGCCCTCCTTAGTTACATGCACTACGTCCGCCTCAGCATCTGGAGGCAGCTGGGAGGACCCAGGAGCTGCGGAGACTCTTGCATCTGCAGCCTCTGAAAAGGACGACTCGGTGGGGGCTTCACTAGGAGATGTGGGGCCAGAGTTTTCTCCCTCTGGGGCATGAATTGCTTCCCAGCCCTCCAGCGGGGACCTGAGGGACGCTCCAGCATTGGCCCAGGCCCCTGGCAAGGGCTGTGCAGTGCTATCTGGACTCAGCTCCACATCCAGGGGCACAGGCTGGGTTTCACTCTGGACACTGCTGTCTCCAACAGCCCCTTCGTTGGCTGTGGACACCAAGCTATCGTCATCCCCTCTGCCTTGGGTAGCTGCTAGTCCTGAATGCATCTCGCTGTCTGAAGGGGGTTGACTGGGTTCGAGTGTGCTAGAGAAAGCCTGTGGATAGAGCCCTTCTTCAGCATCAGGAGGTCCTGCTGGCACAGTATCGTCCTCCCCAGCACCAAAGGCAACGGCGGACATTTCCTCTGTGTTTTCTGATGTTCCTATGGCTGCCCTGCTCCCCAATGATGGCTGTGTGGGTTCAGGAGCTGTGGCCTTTGGGGCATCATTTGTGCTGTCCATCTCTGAAGCTCCTTCCGAGCCCTTGGCTTCATCAGGAGCGGTGGCAGTAGACGGGGTAGTTTCCCCCAAGGGTTCACGCACTCCCGTCACTGCCTCCGCCTGTAGAGATGACCACAAAGAGCTTTCCATGTCGCCCAGGTCTTCTGTGCTCCACAAAAGCGGCTCCGTAGCCTTTCTGGTGTCTGGGCTCCAGGTAAAGGCACCTACTTCATTTTGGCCATCAGCACTGGAGGCCGTGCTCTCTTCCTGTGCTCCCACAGCCAAATTGGTTGTTCCCAGGCCTGCATCCGTGGGTAGAGGTACTGCCCTGCTGAGAGCTCCAGCATGAGTTGTCCCCTCCACTGCTGCCCCCATCAGCTCCGTCTCCGCGGTGGATGGAGAAAGGGGCGCTTTGCCGGCAGCAGAGATCAGTTCTTCTTCTGTGCCCTCCCGCGGGGCAGGCGCTACGAAAACTTTATCGAGGCCTACGAAGAGAGAAGCAGCAGCAGGGATGCTGGAGAATGCATCCGGCTCCACCTTGGAGGACAAAGAGGATATTTGTCCAGGGAAAGGGAAAGCAGTGGTGGCTGCTTCTTCTGCATCTGGCGTTGTGGTTGCCAGCCTGTTGTCCAGAGAGGAGCGCGAAGAATTGGTCGTGCTCGGTAACGTTTTGGCTTCTGCTATAGAGGGCTCCGCTGTGACACCGGGGCTTGGCCCCGAGCCCAAAGAGCCTTGTCCCCCATCACCACTTGTGGTGACGTCACGCTCAAATACAGCTGGCAGAGAGCTGACAGTGTGGGCCTCCGGGAGCTGCGAGTGTGTCGGCAGCCTGGTTATCTCAATATTCACCTCCCGGTAGGAAAACCCAGGAGAAAATGGCGTTGGGCCATTGCCGGCGTCAGCAGAGGTGGCAGCTCTGTCTGCAGTTTCTAGCTTGACCACTCGGAGCACGTTGCTTTCTGCTGCAAAGGACATGGGCTCGTCCTGGGTCAGCTGCCCTTCCGTGGTGGCAGGCACGGCAAAGGTGGTCCCCAGCTCTGCATAGGATAGAGAAAAATACAGCAAGGCATTAGTCACATTAGGGAGCTGCTTGCTGTCAAAATTCACCCCGTTGGATGAGTTATGCATAGACTTTCCATGCAGAGGGTGCTACCCAACAGGGTCATTTGCAAATTAAAAAGCAACCTGAACTGGCTTTGCTGCTAATCGGATTTCAGGTGACTGTCCCAGTTTTTTGTCCATGTTTCTCTGGCATAGAAGAGATAGGGCACATCCTCCAGCAACTCTGCCTGGTCTCACACCTGGGTGCGTATTACAGCAGCCCGAGGGATGCTGTATCCCAAGGGGAAAACCAGTTGGTAAAACCTGGAGAGCAGTGTGTAACAGTCACTCCACCACAGGGCTGCAACAAGGCCGGCTTTTTATATATATATTTTTTTGGGTTCCAGATCAAATCAGTTCCAAATCACGTCAATTGAGCAGAACTCAGTCGTTCCAAAAACCATATCGATTGAGCAGGCAGAACTCAGTCGTTCTCCTCCATCTCAGACCTCTCACCCTGAGATTTCAGATACTCCCAGATCCATTAGCAGGCATCCTACATGCAAGCCCAAGCCCAGAGGTTTGGGGTTTGGATGCCCCTAGATACTACAGGCAAGCATCCTCCATCCCAGACTCTTAAGTCCAGGACTTCAGATATTCCCTACACTTCATCTTAACCCACATCAAGAGGCTGAGAAGCAGGCTGAAGAGCTGGTTGGGCCAGTTCTACACTTATTTCTGGTTCCCTCCTTGCCAGAGGATCCCAGTAAGGCAGCTGTGGTCAGGTCCTCCGCTGAGCTAAGTCAAAGGAAGCAAAAGGTGGAGGAAAGCCATCCTGGGGGATTTGTGATCCCTGCAAAGGTTGTGCTTTGAACTTCTGGTTGACTTCAGTGTCGATTCGGGGGCAGGGGAACAGGGAGATGATCTTACAGGACCTGAGGCCTCCACTCATTCACAGTCTTGACATCCTGCAGCAGTTCCTCCAGGACTGTGGTCCTTTCCAGCAGGGATGCTCTGCTAAGGTCCTGGTTGCTTAGACTGCTCTATCCAAACTGGCATAAAGTGACCCGTGACTTAGCTGTAGCCAGCCAGGTGGAGGATCCAGACCCTTGTCCACAAGTGACAAGACAACCCAATGCATGAACTAATTATTCCCTCATTTGCATAGAGATGATCATCTTTGCATACACTCTGCAAAGGACACATCCAGACCCTTCAGTCCCACTGCCTCTTAGATCAGTGTGCAATATGCAGGCTGCCAGGCACAGAGGCCCCATTGCAGACAACATTCAGACAGCAGAAGAGGACACAGGGGAGAAATAGCACAGCAGACTGTGTCCAGACTGGAGTGGCCATCAGGATGGGGGCATATCAGGGATCCTTGCTAATCTCTCTTCACTCCACAGGTGTTAACGCCCCTCTCTCCTTTGTAATGGTCCTGATGTTCCTTTAAGCTTGCAAAGAAGAATTTTTCCAACTATTTAAGCTGGTCTAATAAAAAATATCAGATTTACCCAAAGGACCTCGTCTGCCTTGAATCAGCTTATCCCTTCTTCTGCAGTTTTACTATCCCTTAGCCATTCGTAGTAACCTCTCTCTTGTATTTCCCAGCCCTGCAGGCTGCATTTAGCTCTAGCTAAAACCTTAAATCAAGCATGGTCCTATTAACTCCTACTAACTTAGGGGTGAATACAACTGAGTGTGAAGTGTTGGGTGCACTGTCAAGATGCTCAATAAGACTGGATTTTGATTTTAAAATCTGAATAGGAAATTAGCATAACTGTAATGTCTATGGGACTAATAAAATCCTCTTTTGGCTATTTTTGTCTAGTTTGCTATGTTCTTTAAACTTAATATTAGGGTTGGTAAGCCAGTCAATTGACCAGTCAAATATTGTCAACTGACTAGTCAATTGACTGCATGTTTTTGACCGTTCAAAGATTAAAGCAATTTTACCAAAAAAACCCCCAAATCTACATTTCTTGTAGTTTTCTTGACAGAAATATGGGGACTATGGCACATTTCTTAATGGAAAATGTGTGTTTTTTCTGTGTATTATTTGGACCTACTAGCCATTTTTTATTGATACATGACTAGTCAATTGACTGAACTTTATTTGACCAGTCAACTACCCAAGCCTACTTTATATATAAAATCTAGAAACTAAGTGCATGTTCCTATAGTTGTATTTGTTTTTTAATTGAGCTTGAACTGAATAATACAGCGCTAGAGCCTTAGCATATTAGTAGAGCTTGTAGTTTGTCTTTAACTGCAGAAAAATGTGTGTTGTGTTATATGTGATGAAGCACCACTCTACCTGCATCCCCCATTTCAAAACCCTAGATGCACCCATGGCAGCAGGGACATGTATCCAGCTGCTAAGATGGGAAACACCCCTGAGTTGCCAGCTCTAGTGATCTCAAGGCAGCTTTTTAACTTTACTTGTCTCATTAAAACATGAGTTATCTGCCAGCCATTCCTCCATTTGTCCCATTAAAAATGAAGGCCATATCTACAGTCACGCCATTGCAGCACAAGAAAGGGCAAAAACGTGGCGTGTACAAAGGCCCCACTACTACAAAAGAGACAAAAGCAAACGAGATAGCCACCACTTCCCTATGTCCACCGGCACCTCCCATTGTTCCCAGTAAGAGCCAAGCCATGCAAAACAGCTGCCAATCTCTGGTGCAGGGGGCTAAACAGGACTCCATTAGAAAATGGACTGGGAGGAGCAGCAGGGATCATGAAAGATGTGGCAAATGAGGAGATCAAGCGGCAGATTCGGGGGGGTGCAGAGGAAACAGTAGGATGAGAGGAGGGAAATCAAATATCAGCTCCCCACCCCGAGGCACGTCAAGGCAAAGGAAGGGGCCTCCTTTCCGAGCACCAATTGTCAGCTCTCCTAAAAGGGCCAAAATCTCGAGAATTGGGCACCTGCTTGAGGAGAGATGGTGACAGTTCCCAGCACTCCCTCAGTCCTGCATCCTTCGGGACTGGCCACTGAGACAGGCAAATGTCTGGATGAGAGCCACATGGACACCGTTCCCCACCTCCCACCCCCTCGGGACTTCTTCCAGGGTCCAAGAGTCATGTGTCCTCCAGAAGGCAACACAGAATTGATGGTGAAGGAATCGGAGGCAGTGAAAGTGAAGACGGTCAAAAACTCAAATGCTGACTTTGAGTTTTCAATTAAACTGCAGCACTTGAGAATTAACTCATCCTGGAGAGGACAGCTGTTCAGGTGTGGAAACAGGAGGTTTCCAGATGTTTTCATGTCCCCTTTTTCTACCAGCGTCCAGCTTCAATGAGAAGGTTGCCCTGGGCTTTCTTTAAACCCAAATGTGAACATTAGCCTTTGTGCTGTTGGCTAATTCTCTACACATCTGGAACATTTTGCATCATATCACAAAGCGGCAGGGGGAGTGGACACAGGATGGGAAACATTGAATTCCAGGTAGGATTTGTCATCACCTTCAAAAAATGTTTGTGGAGCATGTAAAAAACCAGGTTCCAGACTGTTTATTCCCAGCCAGTTGGGACTCCTGTCCTTTCTGGCCAACACTGGCCTTTCATATCAATAGTTCATACTCCCTCTCTATCGCCTTCTTTGTACCCGCTCCCCTTTGAGTACATCATCCTTGAACGTACGACTGGAGCTGTACACAAGGATCCAGCTGAGATCCCACCACAGCCCAGCGTAACACCATCACCACGCCCTTGTGTTTTTGGGAATGCCTAATACTTCCTAAGATTGCATTCACCGAGTACATGGTCCCACCATCCTGGTAACTCAGTATCCATCCAACTTACTAGACCCCAGGGACATCCCTTTTTGTTCCCAGCTGCTGAGCCCCCATCTTATAGCAGGACTTCTTGCTACTACTATCCATGTAGATGCCTAAGCACTTTGTGAACCCAAGACCAACCCATGAGCAACACCATCAATAACCTGTAGCCCAACCCATGTCTTCCAACCCTCCCCGTTGTCTCCCTGCAATGCAGTTCCTTTCCCACTTTATTAATTCAACTGGAAATCTAGCCAAAAAAACTATCAGCTCCCACCTGGCACCACATCAGCGCTTTATCTGAAGTCCCTGATGACCTGAGAAAATGATTCTCATGCAGGAAATATATCAGTTTAGCCTGCATCCCTACCTGATGCAAGCCCATGTCGCATTTTAGCTCTGCCGCATCAAATAGAAGATCCCATCTCCACTACAAGTTACTGGCTTGAATTCTGGACTAAAACAACTTGCTGCAATAGAAAGCAGAAAAAGACAGGGCAATTTGCCCATCTCACGGAGATCTAGTCGAGTCTCTGAATTATAGGAGGAGATGGCATTGCATACACATCCCATTGCTAAGTGTGTGGTACGTAGCTACCCCAGAGCAGGAAGATCTAGCAGACCTATTCCCCTGTCTAAATGACACAGATACATACTCATGCAAGTTCGGCTCCCGGGTTTCCCACAGAGCTGATGTGACCGTGAGCCAGTCCTTCACTCTGTGGGAGAGCTCCCCTCTGGAAGAAAAGGTGGGTACCTACCTTTTCAAAGGGCTTTCCTATCCTCAAAAAAAAAACGTGTCATCTTAAAGCTTGCATTAATTTCAGATTTGGACATTGCCAAGCAGGGGGAAAAAACCCATCTCTGGCTGAACTGTCCCCCTGGAAGCCAGGCAAGTTCACATCCACCTTGTGACCCAGATTGAACAGACCGAGCAAGAGCAGGGCTTACCATGTAGGATCCACATCCAGCATCCCAAGAAGGTCCAAAGCAGCTGCCTCTGCGTTCCCATGTCTCTCAGAGGAGCTCGGGGGAAGCTCACTGGAGCGTGTCTCTCCCGGAGCTGGAAGCAGCCAGGTGCTTTCTGTGCTCCCAGCTGTCCCTCACTTATATGGGACAGCTGGAGGAGGCGGGCGGTGGCGACTGCGTCACACTCCACCCCCTCAATGCCTTACCTCTCCCCTCCCATGCTCCCACCTCCCCTTGACACCCGCCACCTCCCTCGCACGTTCCCTAGGAATGCATATTTGCACGGGGTGCTGGGAACATCCGACGGGCACCGAGGCTGTCCTCTGTAGGGAAAAGGAGCACGCATCCATTCCTCGGTTGGGTTTGTATTTCCCTGGTAGTGGTAAAGATCATAAGCAAGTAGGCTTGGAAGGGCTTTCAGGAGGTCGCATCTAGCCCAGCCCCCTCCTCAAGGCTCTTCCAAGCCTACTTGCTTATGATCTTGCCCACTACCAGGGAAATACAAACCCAACCGAGGCATGGATGCTTCTTGAGGAAACCAGCGCAGCCACGTCTCTCCAACCTGCTCTTGAAAACCTCTAGGGATGGAGACGCCCTGGCTTGTTCCCTGACCACCCTCAGATTCAGAAAGTCCCTCCACATCTCCAACCTGCCTTTCCTCTGCTGTAGCTTGAGGCCATTGTCCTGGTCCTGTGCCTGGTATGCTTGCAAGCACTGCTGCTGAGCACATCGAGGGAAAGAGGGGCGAGCGGGATGCCCACTGGGCAGCAAGGAAGGTCCGCAGGAAGCCAGTTGGTGGGGCCAGACCACCGGGAAGGGCTGGGAGGTGCCCAAATCAACTTACCCAAGCTACTCACCAGCTTCAGCACACCAGAGAGGATGGCTCTGCCAGCCAACACCATCCTTGCACACCAGCGCTAGCTGGGGGACATGGGCCAAGGAGAGAACGGCACAATCTAGGCCAAGAGTTGCACCCAGCTGATGGCAAGAAGTCAGGACATTGCAAGCCTGAGCTACGGGGGTGCCAGGGTTTGAACAGAGCAGGTGACGTTGGGGTAGTTCACTTCCCTACGGGGACCCCGCCCGTCCCCGGGGCATCTCTGGAGGGGACAGGACTCCCACAGGGAGCAGAACTGTAGGAAGAGGGTGTGAGCACCAGGAGGGGGGCATCATGGTGGGGCAGAAGGAGCCCAAGCCACCCCAGCTGCTTGCTGACCAGCACTGCCACCGTGCTTATTTTTGTTGCTGGATTTCACAGTTTTTGGGGGGGGGGGCCTTCAAGCAACCAGAAGCGGCTCAGGGACTCTGTATCGCTGTCTAGCCAGGGGTCCGGTGGCTTTAGGTCTCCATCCAGCCTTCCCAGCTGGGCCTGGGCCTCAGCTTCACCTCCCCACCATGAAGACCAACTCCCAGAGGCCACCCCCTCCCCGTTTGTAAAGGATCTGGGGCTCCGTGGAGGAAAGCTATCACGTCTCTGCTCTCAGGGGTTGGCAACACAGACCGGCTCACTACCTCCATGCCCATGCCACAGACCTCTGTCTCCTCCCAGGGTGCATGGAGAGCCGCCACCCCAGAGGACATCCAAGACCAGCAGAGAGGTCTTGGGTCCTGCTGGGAGAAGCTAGGTGAGATGGAGAGAGGTGGCTTGAAGACCGTCAGCACACCACTCGAGGGTGTCTGGAGCACTAAGGGTTAAACCCAAATACTTTTCTCCAGTCTGGCACAAACTCACTCGCTCTTTCTGGGGCTCAGCTTCACCACCAAGGAGTCCAGCCCTCAGGGATGCTGATACTCGAGCCCCCCCTTTATATAGGGTTTGGAGACCCTGGGAGGAAAGCTCCCAAGCCAGCGCAGAGCTGGAGGGCCCGACTTAATGGGTGCAATTAATTCAATGTCCCCCCCCCGCTGCAGAGCGCCTGCCGCCAGGGGTGACAGCATACGTAACCGAGCATGCACAGGACTCTGTGTACTGATATCCATGGACTTGAGACACAGCCTTGCCTGTGCCTGCCGGCTAGCTTCCCCGGAAAAAGCAGGGCTTGCAATTGAAATGCCAAGGGAAGGCGAGTCACGGCTGAGGAGGGGTGGTCGTATAAACACGCTCGTTCCACCCATGCTAAAATGGCCTATTAATGGCACTGATGGGGTCACAGATCACCGGCCAGCAAGGGCTTTCCACTGGCTTGGAACAAATGTCCTGTGGTGATGCAACGCTATTTGCCAAGAGGAAAAGGCAGGCGTGTCGGCAGCACGTGACATCCAGCGGGGCTGGGGGCAGAGAGGCGGCTTATGAACAGAGGGATGGGCAGGCATCACTGAGGCCGGTAGCACAAGGGCTGCAAGCCCACGGGTACTGTTAAGACCCAATACCAGCATTTAGCCTTTCAGACGGTGCACACATCCTCTGGTCCATCTTCTCAGCATCAGCCCAATGGTCAGAAGCTGGAAGCAAGCTGGCAGGACCCATCTGGTTATGCAAGTGCCTCGGCTGAATCCCTCTCCTGTCGCTCCCCTGCGGCAGGCTGGGGCGCTAGGTCTGTGTAGCAGCAGGGCTGATGGTAGACAAGGCTGTGGATTTGTCTGGGATGGTTTGGATAGGGATGAGCCTGCCTCAGGCCAGGGGTTCCTGCTCTAGGGACCTGTGACTGCTTTCAGATCCAGCCCTGAGCGCCAAAGCTTAGACACAAGAAGGGTTGGGAAAACATGATGTGGGGAGCATGCACCACATGGCAAAAAAAAATGACTATAAGTGCAAGAAGCCACAGCTTCCTCTGGTGACATGGGTGCTGCAAAGACGTGCGAGGAGTCTGAGGAGAGGAATTTCAATTAAGTTCAATATTGACAAGTGCAAAGTCCTGCACTTAGGAGGGAGCAATCCCCATGCACCGGTGCAGGCTGGGGGTGACGGGCTGGGCAGCAGCTCTGCAGAAAAGGACCTGGGTGTGACAGTGGACAATAAGATGGATATGATCCTGCAGTGTGCTCTTGTTGCCAAGAAGGCTAATGGCATCCTGGGCTGCACTGGGAGGAGCGCTGCCAGCAGATCGAGGGCAGTGATTCTCCCCTCTATTCAGCACTGGGGAGGCCACATCTGGAGTCATGTCCAGTTTTGGGCCCCCCACTACAGAAAGGATGTGGACAAGTTGGAGAGAGTCCAGCAGAGAGCAGCAAAAATGGTTGGAGGGCTGTGGGACAGGACTTATGAAGAACAGCTGGGGGAACTGGGCTTATTTATTTAGTCTGGAGAAGAGAAGAGGGAGAGGGGATTTAATAGCAGCTTAAACTCCCTGCAGGGGGGCTGCAAAGAGGCTGGAGCTGGACTGGTCTTGGTGGGGGCAGATGACAGGACAAGGAGCAATGGGCTCCAGTTGCAGGAAGGGGAGTTGAGGTTGGATATTAGGAAAAACTTTCTCACTAGGAGAGTAGTAAAGCACAGGAACAGTCTACCCGGAGAGGTTGGGGAATCTCCATCCTTGGAGGTTTTGAAGGCCCAGGTAGACAAAGAGAATTATGTTTTATAAAGGAGGAATTTAATCACACCCAAAGCTTTGAGTGGCTGCCTCAAAGACAGATTTTCTAAGATGGCCATCAAAAAAATTCACACAGGCACCTTTTAAGTCAGACTCCAAGGAAGGAGAGAGAAGAAAAGAGTATCATCTGTGATTTGATTTTTCCCGTAGGTATGATCATAGGACGAGAGGGACTTCCTGAATTATCCCATGGCTGCATGCAATTACATCATAAACATAGGGTCCCATCTATAAATACCTTATACACACTATCTTTAAACTAATTAGGCTGTTTCTCTACTCTTCCCGTGGGCAGTTCCTGCCTCTCTACTTCAGCATCTGCTTCCTCTCTGCCAACCCCACCGCACTCACATCTATGTATTGCATTTATCTTACTTCATTCATAATTACTTCATTCCTTTTGCAATCAGAATGATTTTTTCTGAAATGGGGCAACTTTACTGGACATTTTTTGACTGCAGGTTCTGAATTCGCTCGACTTCCCAGCACAAAAGAGTAATTCTGTCTGATCATTTATAGGTGGATGTCACTGAAAAGAATAATCTGTAGTAGCTTATTGGGAAAACTGGAGGTTTTGAAGACATGAGCAGACAAAGCCTTGGCTGGGATGATGTGGTTGGGACTGGTCCTGCTTGGAGCAGGGGTTGGACTAGAGGTGACCTCCTGAGCTCCCTTCAACCCTCATTGTCTATGCAGCAGGAGGATGGGCAGCCCAGGCATAAAAGACCCCTTCTCTGCCACTAGCATCCAGTGCAGCCTTGGTCAAGTCACTTGGTCTTCCTCTGTAGGGCCCCTGGGAGAAGCGAGCTCATCACAGTCTCCACCAGCACAGAGGACTTGGCAATGTTCACCTGGGACTTGCAACAGCAGCATTACATTGGCATGTTGGACATGACACGCACGAGCAAAACATAGCTTCCTTCTCCAGGAGACACACACACACACGGGCCTCCCCCAGCTACTCGACCTCAAAGCAGCAGCCCCTGGAAAGAACGCAGCCTCTTAAAAGGCACCGTGCAGTAGAGAAATAGTAGTCGATCCTTCTGGATCACAGTGTGCGCATGGGAGGTCACCAGGACCGTCAGCGCATACCCCTAGACAGGAGCGTGGGGGAGCAGAGGCTGCCCAGCACCTTCCACACCCCTTTCAGGCCACAGAAACAGAATCAAAGGCCAAACCAAGTCAGGACATTGAGTGCTTCAATTGCTGCAGTTATGTACACATCCAGGAATTGAACCCAGGTCTCCTGTACAGCCAATAAAGAATCTACCACTGAACCACAGCAGCTCGCGCAGGTGCGGGAATCACTTGCAAACCTGGTTCAAGGCAACCCGTGTGCTGAAGGGCAGCATTAACCAGTCCGAGGCTGAGTTAGGATTCGGCCTGGGAATAGCGGACGGTCCCGGATGCACTGGAAGTATCCCAACGCATCTCTACATGAGATGCTAACTGCACAGCAGCCTAATAACACCCCGCAGTAGCGTGCCTGGCAAAAAACATGCTAATATGCTGCAGCGCAGTAGTATTAGGCTACTGCACAGTAAGCATCGCTAAAAACCCGTGTGCTAGTGCTTCTGCGCAGCAGT